GAAATTTTAATGTATCACTTTCTAGCATACGGCTGACACTGCTCGACATCTTGCAGTGCAGTATAAGAGTCCCGCCACAAGGAGACACTAAAGGCTTTCAAACCAACAGTTTCTGCTTCCAAAGCGGCGCCAACCGTTAATAGTCGACATTGGTTGCACACAGATGTTTTGCTTTGGCACGAGCTCGAACAATTGAGTTGAATTACACGAGTTATTCATATTCAATAAACCTGTGAAATTTGTGTTGATAAAATATGATTGAAACATGTTTTGGTGAAGTAATTTGAGCTCTTGGAATATTTTAATCCTTCACAATTTTCACACTTTATTCCAACACTATTCAGTGACAAACAAACAAAACACTACATTTTCTGAAATATTTGTGGGGTTTTTCTTGTTTGTTTTTATACTACTTGAAAACTAAAGTGACCCTCCAATGTGATGACAGTGCCAGCAGTGGCCCACAGCTCATTTAACGCTTTCTCCTAATTGGCTCATAACAGTCTCTCATATGTATGAACTATGTAGGCTATCTCTATTTTGAAACAATGAGTGGGCAATGACAGCATCTCCTCATTGTGTACTTTACTGACAACAGGACAACAGGGAATACAGAGAAACCGACTGAGGACTTTTTCCAACTGGTGCCAGCAGAACCACTTCCAGATCAACACTCCGAAAACCAAGGAGCAGGTAGTGGACTCCACCTACACCAGTGAACATCCAGAGAATGGGCATTAAGATAGCTGACTCATATAAGTGATCTGACCAATAAACTGATCTGGAGTAACAACAGAGAGTCCATGTACACAAAAGGATAGAGACGAGACGGTTGTATTTGCAACAGAGAAGTCTTTTGGAAGGGAGCAGGGAGAGCTCCTGAAGACCTTCTAGGACTCTTTGGTGGTATTGTCCATGTTTTATGGTGTGGTCTGCTGGGGACAGGAAGAAACTGAACAGGTTGATCAAGAAAACTAGCTCTGTTCTGGGATGCCCTCTTGACCCAGTGGAGGTAGTTATCTCTGTCAGATAACAGGTCACTCTGACAACACTAAGCAGTCCCTTCAGTGACAGGCTGCTGCACCCACGGTGTGCAAAGGGGACATTTTGGAGGCCTTTCCCTCTAGCTGTTGTCAAATTGTACACTGCACAACAGCAGTGAATGTGCACCACATATGCACACACACTGGGCTCTTTACATATATCAGTGTGCAATACTAAATACCTGCTACTATTAACACCCAAACACTGCACTATGAAATGTTTCATTCTTCTTCTAATAGTAATCTGTATTATTGCATCATATATATGTACATGTATGTATACAGATCAATGATACAGATATATATAGATAGATGGATATAGATATATAGACTTAAATATATAAGCACATATCTATTTCTTAGTCTATATTTCTTCTATTTTTGCATAGCATTATTGATGTCAGGTATGCTGCATGTGTTCATTTGTTCCTGCCTTGTGTAATCTGCTGCAGTAATAATTTGAATTTCCCCAACTCTGGGACTAACAAAGGTTATCTTATCTGAAATGTATCTAAACCCAGCTGATATCTGGCTACATTTTCTGGTGAGCATCCGAATCACACTGGATTGAGGTTTACACACTGTATAATGCCTGATTTCTTGTAAATATTTAACGATGGCCTTGTGAAATATATATTGATAAAATGTTTACCAGGTCACAGTGAACAATGAAAAATAAAATTAAAACAAATAATTGAAAACACTGAAAAACACTCACAAATATATTTTGTAGAGATGACGCATTTGTCTTAACCTGGTTATGCTGTACCATCCAGATGAAGACGTGAGCCAAAGAGCCTTTAAGTTTCATTTAATGAACTTACCTTTTCCTACATATGAGAAATGAGCTGGTGTGAAGTAAATCGGGTTTTGTATATCTGTAGCCTCAGATGAGCATGAAATTTCATTTCTGACTTGACCTGCTTAACAGCAGTCTCAAATATTAAAGTCTTGGTGTTAGGATGTGGAGGATGTGCCAGAAATGTTTGTTAAAACAAATAACTGGACCTTACTTGTTAAGCTCAATGTTCTCACTGTCACATGGAAAAATCAATGTTTTTTTCCCTAATAAATATACATTAATTTTAGGCAGGGCTGGACTGGGACAAAAAATCAGCCCGGGCATTTTGACTAGAGACCGGCCCACCAGGTATTATAGGAAAAACCATAAAGCCTTTGAATGAAAACAAACGTCGTTGTGACAGTGATGTACACTGTCTTGTTGGTACATATGTATCAATCTAATAAACTTAAACCTACACCATCCTCCCTATTCTG